TACCAGCTGACCGGCCTCCTATGGGAGAGAAGGGTGAGGTAGGAGTGGGTGCGGAAGGAAGCTACAAGGTGGTTCGATGATGCAACGGCAAACAGGGATACGAAACATTGTCTCACCTCCCCAGCTGTCTTTTCGTATAGATCTAGGACAGCTAGTTTGGGGAAGGAGTGGTAAGATGGTATGCTCCTCAGAGCATTTGTTAAATAGTAAATTTGACTTAGTGCCACACAGCCATTCTGAGTAGGTTTGTTCCAATTTTGCGCCGCTTGTAACGCTTTCTTTGTGGTTTCCGCAGCAGTAAGGAAATAGCTATATACATCATTGACACTAGCATCTTATTAGGCATTGGCCATCGCAACAAGTTTTACTCTACTTTACTCGGCTTACGATCTCCAGTTGTTCTCAGTCACTGAGTGCTGAGCTTATCGAATCCGTACCGTAGTAGCTGGACTGACACAGCAGGTGGGAAAGGAGCAGAAAGAAAAGTATGAAAGAAGTGCATAGTTTAACCCACGATCGATTTCTTTGTAGCCTTGACATAGTATCAGTACGAACAGCATTTAGAGAGCAAGTTTACTTGGCTAACGTATCGGCTTCATCGTCTTAATTAGAGAAGCCGGTAAAAATTTGAAGCTGATCCAGTCAAAACCCTATTCTATCCTGGAGACTATTTCCCTAGAACGGCGATCCACCAGGGAGAAGTCGTTCAATCGGAGTGTATTACTTGGCTTATTTTAATGTCGCTCGCTGTAAAACGAGGCTGACCATTCAGTAATGAAATGTGGTTAATGAGTATTATACCCCGAACCTTCATAGCTTTCAAATCTTAAAGGATTCGAAAAAGGGGCGAGGTCACGAGTTATGACCACATACTCTTCCTTTCTGTACCTCTTGGGTTTCCTAGCCGATGCCCAAAACGCAGGAATCGGTAGTCGAAAATGGAAAATCCACCTTCAAAACTCGCCCTATTCTCGGTGACAGCGCATATTTGTAATATGAACTTACGCGCTCTTTTCTAGCTATACTCACAAAAATTCAGGTTTCGCCAGATTCACAAGTCTTATTTCTGTATGCGAAAAGTGGTTCACCTTTCTTAACGAAGACTGAAACAGAAGGCAGTAAAGATAAGACTTGCTCGATTGGAACTGCTGATTTGCAACTGGGGAGGGCCATCGTCAAAGCGATAACGACGGTATGTGAGAAAGTCCGAGTTCTCTCTAGACGTATCTGCCAGTTAGAGCTTGTTTCTGAAATAATCATTATACCTTAAGTGGGTAGCCTATGTTAAGGCTGTTGAATGTGCGAACATGGAACCACCCCCAGTGTTCACTGAGAGTACACCTTATTCGCTGATAATCAAGCGGTACTTAACGAAGGAGCTCAATCGATCAGTTAGTTTGGAAGTGGGTCAGTTCTACATCCGCCGTCCTCATGTGTATTTAATAATTTAGCCTCACATTGAATTGCAATATCTCGCGCTAGCTTATTGGAAGGAGTCTTCAGCGTGTTTGGAAAAACAGCATGAGGAAAACGTGGGCTATCTCTACAGGAGGTCAGTTTCGGGCATTCATTAGTTCTGATACAGCGTTATGAAGAAATTTGAAATTTTATTCCAGAATGGTCCCTCCATACTGGTGGAGGAAACCTCCTGCGGAATGGTTCCAGAGTTACTTCGTTTTGAAGTGAGCAGTAATTGCACCACTGCTTATCACCATAAGTTTTGCTTACTCTTATAATATCAGAGTGTATTGTTTTTTAGAGGTTCGAAAATGTATGTTTTCACCGATTCTACATGTAAAGAGGGAGAGATGGTAATAAACCTTCGGTAAGTTGCTGAAACTTCTTTTCCTATACATTTCATTTAAAAGGAGCGCTTTTTCAGTGACTGTACGGAACTGTTGGAAATGGACTCGAAGAAGGATTGTCAGTGGGGATTTGAGTTAGTGTTGCCGGATGGCAATCTACAATTACAGTGTCCGAGCAAGGATGAGATGAACAAGTGGATGCAACTGGTGAACGAGGCGCTAAATGCACTGGTTTGTTGCTTGAGTTTATAGTTGCATAAAAGCTATCAAATGGATGTTGAATTTTGGGCAACAAGACTTGACCTCAGACGGATCTGGAACACCGACTTCACACTTTCTGGGGTTTTCGGGCGAATGAAATATTCTTTACACCACCCGAACCCACCTTCAGCCCTGCTACTTTAGTAGATTCCATGCCACAACTACATAGCACTCTCCGTTTAGGGGAAGTGGCGGTTAGCCTATACCGGCTCAAGTTAAAATTGCCCCCAGTTTATTTGGTGTTGACACGCCTTCTTTGGACATGATAGTCCTGCCCGCAAATATGGAACATCTGGTGGGGGCAATTCGGTGGCGGGTGGGGGGGGAGGCGTTTCGCACTTTTGCTACTTCTAATCGACGTCTCGATCCTTGTACGAGCCATTTCGTGGTTACAAGATTCGACAGGTTCTACCACGGTGGCAGATGAGCCTGCTTCAGATTCACAAGAGTTCACAGGTTTCACCAGGGTGAGACTTGTAAAGCGAAACTAGTGAAGTGAAGGTGCATTCCCCCCCCCCTCCGTCACCGAACTGCGCCGATCAACTACTCTCACAGCTCAAAAACACGTGAGGAAAGCGCGACCCGCTCGCGACAAGGTCACGACCCGCACACTGGTCGCCAAAACGCCCAAATTTCATTATGCACTTGCAAAGCCGATTCGGCAGGGGGGTTTTATGAGCATTTCGGACTAATTTTTCTGCCGTCTTCTTCACTTCTGCTTTAGTCGCCATCTTGTCATTAGTGTTTGAGCCGCACATCTGACAATTTTTGACTGGCATGCCTTTGAAGACATTAAGATGATTGCATAGGAGCTATTCACCATGGCGATGCCATTTAGTTGATTCTTCCAGAATGACGATGATGCAGTGGCATGCATGGTGATCATAACCGACACCAATTCTTGTTGTTGCCCAAGAAGGCGAGAAATGCTTTACGGACGGCTTCATTCGCACTTTAGTCGTAAGTGCTTCCTTATCATAGCGCGACTGCTGGTGGTTATCAGACGTCAAAGTAAAGCTTTTTGGAGTGTCTATTCAACCTATTCAGTCATTCCCTCTACCTGATATTCGATCCGGTTGGGTGGTGCAAACAGAGACTCACATGGTTCTGTTACTTCGCGTGGACGCCATGTACCAATGGTTCTTCTTCCGGTCAAAGGACGAGTTGAATCGTATCGTCAGAACATTATCCATTTATCCAATCCCTTTAACGGAAGTCAATCAGAATAGTCAGGTCAGTTTTCTAGCTTATTTTTCTGTTCATTGAGTAATTTTGGCACTATTGAAGTATTCCTACCCAAGCCTTCCCAGATAACTCCACTTCTCTTTTTACCTTTTTTTCTGGGCAAATTTGGCTGAAACTGCTTCTAGGGTAGTTCGACCTCCTAAACACGAATATCCATATGTGTAGGCGCCAGTGGAGCTAGGGGCGGATGACGATTACACGTGACAGCGCTGCGCAGCTGGTTACACGTGACTGTGCTTGTCTGTGGGCTTCTTCCGAGGTAGTGGGATCTTTCCTATTCAAGGCTGAGCCTTACCTGAAACTGACCACTTCTTCTCCCAAGTTAAGCCTTAACAGAAGAATAAATGGTGATAGCGTCAAAAATCCCGTTTTGTCGAATCCCATATTCGTGGCCAGGATGTCAGTTACCCTCCTCCCCCTCCCCCATATATTAGGTTGGTGGGAAAGTTCTGTCATACTTTTTCAAACCTTAATAACCTATAATATATAAATATTTCATATATTAATCTTTATAAATACTTGCTCTCCTCTCGCACCGGTGTAGCCCAGACATGCTTTTTCTAACTGCTAGTTGCCTCCCGTACTTAACCGTTATATGGCCGAGAAAACCTCCACGACTCGAGCCCAAGTCAAAATTGAGATGATGTCCAACTTTGCGTCGCGCCGGCTGCATTGTGAAGCGATGGCATCCACGAAGTGCTCAAAAACTGGCAAGGGACCCGCAGTAAGTATTGCTGTATAATTTTGATCTTGTACGTCTCTCTATAAAAAGAAAGCCTAATTTGACAAAATGTGACAGAACTTTCCCGCCAACCTAATACAATTTTTCACCGATTTTGGCGAAATGATAGTGACACCAATTAGTGCCAGCGCCACGAAGCGATGTCATACTCGTGATCAAGGCTTTTACTGCTACACTCGGAGTTTCAGCAGAAAAAAAAACTTTGAGTCTCGGGGGTAGGAATATTTTAATGGTGCCGTGATTTTTGATGACTGGAACGTACATATTTTAATGTAAGACGTTTAAGGAAAAGGCCGTTGGTTACATACTAAATGAATGTGGAAAAATACCAGATCTTTGGCATAAAGCAATATTTGCCACGGAGGGATTCGAGCTCGAACCGTAACCAACTACACTTGCTTTACGTAATTTGTATAGTGTGTATATGGTTGTGCATATTCTCTACCTTGTTGTCATTTGTTTGTTTCAAAGACCAGTAATAGTATACTTAGATTCGGTTGGCTAACTATAAGAATATTACGTAACACTCAAGCTATTGTAACTTGTTGGCGAATCAAATTCGTAGCCTTGGATAACACTGTTACTGGGAACTGGTAGGTAAAGACTCCCAGTTTGTTGATAGGTCTTTTTCTGGATAGAGCAATGTTGTGAATTGTCAAAGAACAGCTCCGACAATTAACCCCACAATTACCTGACACCGTAGGATTCTTTCCGTGTATGAGATGCCTATTTACCGCGAAGTCTCCTCCCCCGTCATTTTTTCTTCCCTCCGTTCCTTCCTTCCTTCTCTATCCTCTTCATGGTTTCTTTCCTGCAAACCTCGGTCAGAAGACGAGAAAGCCTCTGGTCCGTGGCGGGAAAACATCCTGTTCTTAGAGGCCCCTGTAATTGCGAGCTGGCCCGGTGCTTGGAGAATGTACCATTACACAGTTCGACGATGAGTGATGAAATCGTTGAGACTGTCGGACTGTGGACATCCCACCCATCAGTAACGGCCCTACCCATTGGGCAGCGCCTTGTTTCTATCGTCTCATTGATCCTTCTGTTCTTTTACCCTTCGCCCCTGATCTCTCAGAAAATGTATCTTAGCCTCCAATCTTCTAAATCCAGTGCAGAGAGGATAGTCTGATTTAGGGCTTTTTGGCAGCTTCTCTTTTATTCACTTGCAGGCCATGCAGGCCAAATTTTCAAAATTTCAAAAAATTTCAAACACATTTACCTGGGACTTACAATCGTGGAATAGGTAAGCCCTAGTTCTCTGCGGATGAGTGGGCGTGTCAGACAGTTGGAATCTGGCATGGCAACAATCATTTTTTTCTGCCATGATATGACAGTCTTGTTACTTCCTTGCTTCATCGACCAGTCGGGAGCGGGTTTTGAAACGCGCTAAAATCATCCCGCCTGGCGCTTCCCTTCGTCCGCAGCGAGCTAGGCTAGATATAAAAAAGTTACTCAGCTCTTGAATATTCCTGTATTTCTACTTGTTCAGTGGAAATTTCATATGATTAGCGGCTGTTTAGCAGCTACTTGCTTTTCCCGCTCTCCTCATGTCAGTTCGGGGCTTTTTCTCAGTTCTAGGAGTTCTGTCGGCTTAATGCAATTACTTGTAGAGCAGGCTAAAACCGCCGTAGCGCAGTCACTGCATTCCGTTTCACTGGGAGGGGTGGTTCTCAGTACTGTTCAAGCTTTTACCGTGCCCAGTAAATTAGTCCTTTCATGCAGGTCTTGCTCGTTTTGGGTTCTTATGTGATACTACTGACTATTGACCGAATGAAATATTCTTTCCTGTGTGCACAATGTTATCAAAAATCAGTCGGCTCTGTTTAACCAATACTTTTGTATCGCTTGCTTGTTCCTTGGCGATCAGCCTCACGGTCATAATGTTAGGCACTATTCAACTATTACCACTCCAAAAATCAAATAAAAAGAAAAAGTTTTTCACTTTGATATTTTGTCCATGAAGGTAATTCGATATCCTGATCACGAGTATGACATTCGTTTCTGACGCTGGCGCCATTTGGCGCCACCATCTTTCTCACAGACATCGGTCTTGCATACTGGGATTATTGGGTACCCTGGGGGTCGGCCATTAGAGGCGCGCACCGCTTTTCATCTGAATCGATAAAAACTTGCATAATTGGGTTGTTTGACGCCTTGGTGAAAATGGCGTTCATTTTCTCACCATCGCCATTCAGCGTTCGGGCTGAGC